GGGGGAGAGAGAGAGAAGGAAAGATTTGCTTTATATTACTTGTAATAAATTTTGCAAATAATGTGAAGTGCATTTTAAAAGCACGAAAAAAATCTTCCTCCACTTTTTAATACTTCTTCGTCGTCATATTACTTGCAGTAACAATACTCTAAGCAACGTATTGAGCACATAGTAATAAATCTGAATAGGATTCTGAATGAGTTGTGTATACGGAGAGAGTACGAGATTAATAACAGACTATCATCACGCTAGAAACAAGTGAGTGGTAAGAGACAATGATTCGACATACTTTCCTGAAATATTACGGAAAAAAAAAACTAATGACTCAGCATAGCATTCGTTATTAGAAACTTTTCGGTTCAGTAGAAATTAAAGTAATGTTTGTAATGTGTGTCACTTCCACGAGACATTATCGGCATACATAAAATTCTAATCACTTATGTGTGACTGCATAGCTTTCTTGTGTACACACATAGTCAATCCAATGGTATCTTTTGTAAAGTTTTACGCGATATAATTCTACGAATGTCATAATAATACAGATCCTTAAATATTTTTTTTTAAAGCACTTTTAAGAACAGCTATTTCAGCGTTTTCTTGATTGGACTAATATGCGTTGACAGATAGGACGTCGGATAAACATGGAATGTTGTGACAGATCTGACCACTCGTAATATTATAATGGTTGTTAACAAAGGTTCATTGATCTTCTTTTATAGATAGATGATAAGAGGAGATCACAGACCCTTACATGAAAGATTTATGTATAAATAGATATTAATGTACAGAGTATGCAGTGATAATTACACAACAGATTGAAGCGATAACTAAAGAACGAATAATTGATATTGTATCAATATTCTATTATTGTATCCAACGCGTACAACATAAGGAAATAAATATTATTATATTTTCAATTTGACTATCTTATTGTTTTACGAATTTGTTTAAAATTGAGATAATATGATTTAAATAAAAAAATTAAAAGAAAAAAAAAACGCTATCATATAGCGATATAAAATGTTCAGTTAAAATTGAAGTCAGTATGTTATTCTACTTAATTTCTTTTCCGTAAGTTAAGATATTTCACTTATATGCTCTGTATGTAGATGATAATTGTTATGGATGAAAGTACGGCAGATTTGTGATAGTCACGAAGAGAAAGGAAGTTATTTTATCGATTCTTAATAAAAAAAAAAAAAAAACTTGGGAGATACTGATAAGGCATACTTCACGGTGGAACACGAATCAACCTTTCTACTCCACATATTGCTACAAATAACTGCTTAAAAAAAATTTAGCGCGGATTGCTTTAAACATAAGCACGACCGATTCGTAATACATACGACGATATTTTGTAAATGCCAAATGGCGCGATATTCTTAAGCATATGTGCTACAACATGTGTGCGGGATAAGCGGCATTGCGGTTGAATATCATTACGAATTGTTATACATGTTATGCATTGATTCATACGATGTCATGTATCATAATAAAAATCATTTATTGGACAAAAATTACATTATTTTCACAGTCTGATGTTCAACGCCAGATGTCGAAGCATCGCACGCGCTGTTATTTATTTCGAAGTGATGCGAATCACGAAAGCAGGACGATATAATAAATGAAAATTGTTATAAACATTCGTGTCAGTTGTAATTTTACGTACAAGCATTATGACACTTTGTACTTTGGGTTATCTGTACAACATTTATACGTATATATTCATTTCTTTAAAAATTTATCGTTAAATGCAACAATTGTTCTTACGCGGGGATATAATCACCCATAATATCGTACAATATCTTTTACAGAAAAGATCTCTATGGAAAGAGCTCTGTGGAATGTTTCCGAAGTGTAAAATAAAATACTTGAACACATTGACAAGTTTTTCAGGCTTCCGTGACGACAGTTAATCTTCTTTTCCTTTCCCGCTGGATGGCATAACGTGAATTTCGCTATAGTCCCGCGCGATATCAATGTACTGAAAATTTATTGATTTATTTATAAATATAAATTCTTTGGCGTATTTAGCATGCGTGTATACTAACAGCAGGCAATTTGAAAAATTATATATATAAGAAAACAGACAAAAGTAAGAAAATAAATAAATTAGCAAAATACATATATTACAAATTTCTCTAATCTCGAACATTTTATTTACCTTTCTAGGGACGAGGAATTCGAGGATTTGCAGAATTATGTAGCATAATGACACTACGAGTAAGTAGGCCAATACGTCGCTTTTTATCTGATTCGCTAATCGTTGTCCCAGATTTCTTTTGGCTTCACGCTTCACTAAATTATACACTATTTCCGTACGTTTGGTGATGTTGAACCAGTTATAAAACAAGCTTATCCTCCTGTGCATCTCGAAAGGCCTGTTATTGCCCTTTTTGTAATCCGCTATAGCCATTTCCAGACCTTCAATTAACGCAGGTATGGTGGGTTCTACGAGGTAAATCAAATCTGGCGGTAAAACTTCCGGAATTCCTCCGACTTTCGTCGACACTACCTGCAACCTGTAAGACAATATATATTACATTTAACGTTATTTGACAATTTTGAAAAGATCTGAGTGAATAATTTTTCAGATTTTATAAATGTAACGACGAGGGAAAGTGAAATGCACAATGTTGCATTTTACCCGCAAGAAGCTGCTTCTACAATAGCCATGCAGTAAGCTTCCGTCAGGCTCGTATTCAGGAAGATGTGACCCTTGTTCAGAATGTGTCTGACTTGAGAGTGTTCCAGACTGCCCAGCAAGGTGACTCTGTGCTGCAGCAGATTCCTCTCCCGCACTTCTTCTATGAGCCATCTCTTTGGACCGTCTCCGCCGATTAAAAACTTTACATTTTTATGACGCGAACAGATCTCAGGAATTATATGGGCTAGAAGATCAACGCCTTTTCTATACACCAATCGCGACACTATTACTATAGTAACTGAAACAAAAAGTTACATTGAATAATGTGTAGAATGATATATTTCTAATTCAAGCTTCAGATTTTCAACTTACTATAATCGTTGCTCCGTTTATTGATATCAGGTGTAAACAACATTGTATCAACGGCATTTGGAATAACCGACACCTTCTCCTTTTGTACTTTGGCTCGCAGCACTGTATTCTCCTTTCCAGTGTGAGATACGCATATGCAATGATCACAATCAACCAATGATATCTCGAGAAATTTGTTTGTCAGGATAGCAGATGCATCCGCAAAACCAAAGAGAGAATGATCCGTGAAGACAGTCTACAAATACAATAAAATTAAGCAGAAATTAAACAGATTATCTCTTGTTATTTAAACTACTGCTAGCGTAATTTCAACTTACTTTCAGTCCCATTAATCTACCAATTAACATTCCCTCATGTGCTAAAGCAGAAAATGCAGAATGGCCATGTATTATCTGTATCTCTTCTCTTATAAAAATATATCTAATGAGAGGAAGAGAGCATATCATCGTTGGAAGAATGCACTGATTGTAGAAAACCTTGACAGGGATATAATATACCTTAAATAAAGCAAAACGTAAGAAGAAATCATTAAATGACAATATTCTGATATCTAATGGAATAAAAATGAAACATACTTTCAAACCATTTGTCATGTACCGTATCCCTACTCTATCTCCATAGGAATGTGTTAATATCACCACTTTGTGCCCATGCTCCAACAGACATTGGGATAAATTAAAAATATGTTCCTCGACACCGCCCATGTTCGGGTAAAAAAAATCCGAAACCATGCTGCAAAACGTGTCACACAGATATTATTAACGCATATGATAAATTGAAAAATAATAAACAATGCGAAAAGTTGTATTTTATGACAGCACATATTCTATTTTATTAGTGAAAATGTCGTACAAACCATATTTTATGTTTTACACCACTCATCTTCACGCCCATACATGACTTATACTGTTCAATTTGGCAATCAGAGATTTGTGATATCGTTGCCGGGTGTATTCGCAATATCAATTCTACTATTTCATACTGTTATCACTTCTTTTTATCATATTCGTTGTATACAGTCTGACTTATGTGTGTTTCGCACCGATAAGAACCGATAATGACACAGTACATTATACTACATGCATACTGATATGCATTTGACATATTGGTTATGTTATGTGTGAAAAACACAACGGTTGAGCGATCAGTTTTCGGACAGTGATCTGGCCGATAGATATGGATTACTCACAAATGATGGTTATCAAGCAGTTGGGTAAGTTTCTAAACACAAGCATTGTTGACGTTTAAAAAACATGATTGTGCATTGTATATATTCATGGGAAAATATTTTTGTTATCTAAACGTTCTTCAAGTATTTTGGAGCATAAATCAAGGATAACATACTCGCATACATTCATTCAGCATGGGTAAGATAGAATAAACAATTATTTAAAGAATCAAATATGATTTTTATTTTACGAAAGATCATACGATCATCTTTATACGGATTCTTGTACTGGTGGTTCGTAACCCTCCGGCCTGTCGACCTTTGATCCACTTTCACCAGTTTCCTCGCTCTTATTACCACCTCCATCACCGTGCAGCTCTAACAATTTGCTGAGCTCAAAGCGTGGCTTCTTCAATACTTTTACCTAATAAAGTGAGAAATATTTATTAATAAAAAAAATAATCACTAATTTTCACACTAATAATCATTTATATATTTAGCATTATTACTCACCTTTCGAATGTAAACGTCGTGGAGAGGATAAATGCCCTGTGATGCCTTCTCGATGTCTTTAGCCGTGGCATCTGGAAGCAATTTGCTAACCACACCTTTCAAGTCGGTTTTCGTAACATCATCTTGAATTGTTTCAACCATCTTTGCTCTGATTTTCTTGACCTAAATTGAATCGTGTATTATAAAATAGGAAAAAATAATAAAACAAAAAGATAATAAAAAAAACAAAATAGCAAGACAGATAAAAGTTTAATATTAGATAAATGCATATTTAAGTCAAATAAATCCAAAATGTTCCTTGGCGTAAAAAAATTCTTTGAATAGCAATTTTTATAAATATTTGTTATAAATATAAATTGCTTGTTTATTCAATTTATACATAAAATATATTATAATTTTCTTTGTAGCACGTTTCAATATCACTACTCACTTATATATAAGTAGTGTGGTAAGCCAGTGCATTAATATACGCAATATCTTCTACCTTAATCAATTAAAAGATTAAGGTGAACAATGAAAATTGCGTATAAAATGTATAATAAAGTTAACTGACTACAAACCTGCGCATGTTGGGCATAACACGTCTTTCTTGTACTCAGCTGATCCTTATTCGTAAAACCAATGCAAAACACTCTGAGCAAATAACCATCTGTAGTTTTCACATCGACATTAGCTTCGATGAGTGTTTGCCACTTTTTCACCATAGAACGAAGTTTATCTGTTGTTAAATCCATTCCATGGAAGTTGGTCAATACATTTCGGCCTTGGACATCTTCGGCAATCAGTCTAAATTTCCGGAACGATCTCTCTGCATCCTGATCGCTTTGCAAGTCAGCCAGAGACACCTCAAACACTCTGAACTTTAATCCCTCAGAAGCGATCTCTGCCAAATAAATACTATTTTATAATATTTATATATATTTATATATCGATAAGCAAAAGAGAAAAATAACTAATTAGAAATTAGTAAAAAGCAATCAGCTATTACACGTATTAGATGAAAGTTTAAAGAAAAAGATTCTCACTTGTTCCTTGAGTCCTATTGACCAGAGTTTTCCCAACCTGCCGATTGGCAAACATAGACGGTGCTTTAACATCGTACCAGTCTTTGCGAGTGAAGGGATCGACACTGAAATAATAATAATTAAATAAGAAAGCATGCACATATAATAATATATGCACGACGGCAAAATGAAAGTTAGGTTAAACCCGCGTGATCAAGTATTGCATGCGCCAGCTGACACGTATTGAACGCATCTCGCTAATATTTAGGAAACATTTAAAATACAATTAATAATCATATTACTACGATTATATTACAATTGACAAAAATGATACATTCTAATACAAATTATTGACAGTACATGCCACTCGCGTTGATCTGCATATATCCAACATAACCAAAGACATCACGCGAAACGATAAGTCGGTGAAAAATTTTTCACGAATGAGAAAAAATTAGCTGTGCTTAAAATGCAATATGTTTCACTTACATCTTCTTCTTCACTCCCTTTTTGCCTCCTTTCGAAAGTCCTTTATTCTTGCCTACCGCCATGATACCGCGTTGCAGGTGAAAAGAAACAGTTCCACAGCGGAAGTTGCTAACCGACTTGCGAGTCGTCGAAAACGGAAGTTACTGCTCGAATGAAAAGAACAACACTGAAATGTGAAGGTTTATTGTCTAGTGTCTTGTAACTTTTAGCCAATGACTGAACACTAGATAAAATGAGATAATAGGCCTTACAAACCTGTTATCTCTCTCAATGGTAAATCATCAATTTCCGGTTTCACGTTCTTTGCTTTAAAAGAACTCTAGTGAATGTTAGTCTATTTATATATGAGTTGGACCTAACCTTGCGCTAATTTGTCATCTACATGGAAAGAACCGTTCGTGCAATAATAATTCACAGTGCAGTATTTATAGATAATACGCCCTGGATAATGTCTTTATCGCGGCGCGAAATGTCACCATCGTCCCGTACATAAGAATTTTCACGAACGCAGCTCGTCGCGCCATTTCACGTGAGCGCACGATGAAGTGTCATTCTGTGAAAAATATTCGTGTGCCATAAAATAATATCTCTATCCACCGAATGATTACATTTAGATTGCTGCTTCCTGCGGTGTGTATTCTAGCATTTTGCTTATATCTTATCGCATTTCGGTCATTTTTATGTCGTTTTGCTTGTTGACTCAAAGTAAAGTATATAAGTAAACACTTGAAGTGACGTGACTTGTACACGTCGTTTACTAACTTTAAATTTGCTAAATTTGCATATCACTAAGCGCTAATCTAAAACTGACAATGATAGAAACTCGATTTGATTATATTATAGGTGAGAAGTGAGTGATATTTAAGAATAATTTATATGTGTATACCTACTTAAAACAATGATGGAGTTGAGCCATAGTCTTACCCTCAATGAGGATGCGCTTAATCAAATACCGGAGGCGAAACGACCGGTCTTTATTTTCGAATGGTTGCGTTTCCTGGACAAAGTTTTGGTTGCTGCACAAAAGGTATTAATTTAAAAGTTTGACATTTATAATTCTAAAGTTTAGGATTAGATAGAAAGGAATTTATAGGTATATATGTTTATTCTAAATATTTTATCGTGATAAATGTTTCTTATAGAATGATATTAAGGGATGTCAGCAAAAGTTAGTTGAGCAGTTGACCAGACATATGCAGGGTGCTCCTGGTCCACCCACGCGGCGTCTTATAGCGAGATGTCTCGCTACTTTATTCAGTGTTGGTGATACATTCTTGCTCTTCGACACTGTCAACAAATGCAATGATATCTTGAGGAATAAAGATGATTCACCAAGCTTTTTACCCACAAAATTGTAAGTGTGAATTTATTTTATTAATAATTAATATTTTACATTGAAATAACTTTTTTTTTAGATATTTAATACTTTTTACTAAAGATAGTAAACACAGCTTCCATGCACATTTCTGTTTGCACATCTCAAAACATGTTAAAATACAGTTCGCGATTCTCTAGAAAATAAAATTGCAGTGCATATCTTCAATCTCTTTGAATTCCAATTTAGATATGCAACTGCCAACGCGCCGAGTTAATATCCTACAATAGAATAATTCTATAATACATGTACATATGTTTGTAGAGCTGCTATTTGCTGTGTGGGATGTATGTATGAGAAGTTGGGAAGAATGATGGGCAGGTCATATGAGGAGACTGTGCAGATTCTAATCAAGTCTTTACGCTCTGCTGAGTCACAAACACGGATAGAAATCATGCACACATTGGAAAAAGTAATGAATAACTTTATTGACAATTTCTAATGAACTGTTCTGATATAATATATCCATAATATAACTTTGTATTATAATTAGGTATGCGCTGGCATGGGATCAGCAATAACTAATGTACACAAGGAGATATACAAAGTTTCCAGGCATTATTTAACAGACAGAGTAATGGCGGTGAGATGTGCCGCCGCCAAGGTACTGAAATTTATAAAACACGAATTACTTTCCTTTCTTTTATAATTACAATAATTTGTTTTTGCAGTGCTTGTTGGAAATGTTAAATCACGCTCCGTTCTTATATACTACTGAAATTGAAAGCGTTGCGACATTGTGCTTCCGAGCATTTGAGGGCTCAAATTACGAAGTAAGATGCTCTGTCGCTAAACTACTGGGCACTTTAGTAGCAATGACGCAGCTTCCGTCTCCCAAAATTAAGAATCTTATAGGTATGTAAGGGAGATATAATAAAACTGTATAAAAAATATTTATTGTATTAATATGTGTTGCCTGTTTTTCTTTACAGTCTCGCACAACAAAGGTGTTAAACAAACATCGCTCGAGGAGGTGTTAAATATTCTCATGTCTGGATTTTTGAGAGGCGGCGTCGGGTTTCTGAAAGGAACGGGTGAGATAATAAAAGGAAGCTCCAGCGTGAATAGAGAAGTGCGAGTTGGTGTGACACACGTAAGCATTATATACAAGCATACATATTTAGATATTTTTTTTCGGAATAAAAATGGATATTTGATTTTTACCAATATTTGCAGGCGTACGTGGTGTTCGTTCAAATGTTGGGCGGCACGTGGCTGGAACGCAATGTCGGCACATTAATCGCGCATGTTTTAGACCTGGTCACGAATCCAAAAGCCGCCAGCTCGCACGTCGAAGCGGTGTACTCGCGCAAATGCGTGAACTTTATATTGCGCGGCACCGTCGGCAAACTGCTAGGCGAAGGCGCTCAGGCCGCCGCTTGCAAGGAGATAGCGCATATTATTCTGAAGCAGATGAATTCCATCGGTAATAATCAGTTTTACGTATTGATGTAGCCTCGTGATATCACAATTTTAATGTAATCTTATAGATTTCAGCCCGGAAAACGCCAAGGATTGCAATCAGGAGACGTTGTTCAGTCAACATTTATTGGTGTGCGCTTTGCAAGAAATGGGCAGTTTAATTCTGGGTTTGGGCACCACGGCCACAAATTTGTTATCCGATCAATCTCTGAGTATGTATTCGCAAACTTTCGTTTTTTTGATGGGGAAATGATTTTTGTAATATAATTATTTATTGCTTCGCAGGTTTAATCGACACCATAATGGCCGTCTTGGTGCATCCATGTCAAGCGGCTAGACTGGCGGCTTCCTGGTGTTTACGATGCATCTGCGTGGCAGTACCGAGTCAGATAACGCCGTTGATCGACCGCTGCGTCGATGGAATCGAAAACATGCGCAGCTCACCGGAAGCTATAGCCGGTTATAGCAGCGCTCTTGCCGCGGTACTAGGAAGCGTTCGTCTGTCACCTTTGGGAGTTCCTCACACTAAGGGAAAGGTACGTGTCTACTTAATGAAGCAATCAACAAGCTTGGAATTTAATAATTAAAAAACATTTACCTATGAAAATATTTTAAATGCTACACGTTTTGTTGAATTTTTCTTAAAATTTGCAGTTAAAATTTTTTAGAATTAAGTTTATGTATTATTTTTATTCAAATCCATTATTTTTTTCAGATAATTTTCAATACTGCGGAAGAACTTTTAAGAAGCGCAAGTCAAAACAGTCGATTGTCTTTAAATCGCACGCACGCAGGATGGCTCTTGATAGGAGCGATAATGACTTTAGGTATAAATATCTTATATTAAACAACATACGCGAGTTGTATATATATATATATTTTTTTTAATACAGGCACAGCAGTGGTGAAGGGCTTGTTGCCGAGAATGTTACTTTTGTGGAGAAACTCCTTCCCGCGTTCGACCAAGGAACTCGAAAGCGAGAAGGCGCGCGGCGATGCTTTCACATGGCAAGTGACTCTGGAAGGACGTGCCGGTGCGCTGTCGGCTATGTACAGCTTCTTGTTACACTGTCCGGAGCTTCTGAACGACGATATTACGCGGCGACTGCTTACGCCGGTCGAATCCGCTCTGGCAATGCTGACAAGGTATGAATATTAATACCATTTAAATAATCAAGAAAATATTTAAGAGTACAAGAATTCTTTAGCATCGAGTATTGTATGTTTTCTAGTTTGTCACCCGTTTTGAAAAATTACGGCCAACAGTTGAAGGCTCCCGCGGCTATGGTGCGTTTGCGCTTGTATGAAACGTTATTGCTATTGCCACCGCAAACTTTCGAAGGTAAATTTCATGCACTGTAAATGTTAATTTAAAATTAGTTTGTATTTGTACTCTTTGCTTTCTATTTATCTGCGTCATCGTGTAGGTTCTTACACGTATCTTCTAAGAATGCTGGTGTCGGAGTTCACGCTGACAGATAATCCTGGAAACACGACTACTTCCTTGTTGCGCGTAGTTTGCCACGCAAACGATTCTGTGATCCTCGGTACTTGGCTGCAGGAGACTGATCATCGCACAATAGAAGATCAAGTAAGTATATTTCAGTATAATTTTTATTCCCATAAGTAGCCTAATATCATTGTGTCTGATGCTTTGCTGAGTGTAAGTTGTGCTCTTCTAACATCTACTAACAAAAAAGTTAAGATTTTCTTGTTTTATATCTGTGTAATTAACATTTCATTTATTAACTGACATATTTTATATCTTCGATCTTGCTAATCTCAAATATGAAGAATAGCACACTCTTGTAAGCTTTTGTAGAATGTAATTTTTGTAAAATATTATCGTTCGTGTTTAGATGGAACCGAACAGAAGGGCAGATTTGGAACATGTGAGTAAAACATGTGTTCTGCAAAGTATGCCTTTCATGTTTCTGTTATAATAATAATATGTTGTCACTATTTATGTTTATGTTTTAGATATAAAGATCACTGATTTTGTAAATAAATCATATTTTATATTATTATATTTTACTGATTATTGATTATTTATATAATAGGAATATTATATTTTTGAATATTGTGTACTTAATATACTTATTTCATTATGTTTTATTCCTGCCAATTAAAACACAGTCTGCGTATCTTATTTATTTTAGTTTTTTAGGAATACATATTTATATAATATTTGTCTGTCTTAATTATTTCACATATGCAGCCTTATTTTTCTATTATATAACCTAAAAAAATTACTTTTATGATCTATGTCCTTTCTTCTAGCTCCAACCAAACAGTGCTGCAGGATCCGGAGCATTGGAACATAATACATGCTGTCTTTACAGACCAATATCAAATGTAAGTTTTTAAATAATTAAAATTTTTCCATAATATTTCACATATTTTACTTAAATCTTCTGTCATTCTTCTATTTATTTTTTATTATTATGATTCATAAATACAGAGAAAATTGTAATTTGAACTTACGAAATATAATTACTTACAGATCGAGATAATTCCTGGTCCTTTGCCGTTGGGCGTAGCGGTAATCGACTTATCAGTCATGTTATTTGGTCAAATATTCCCGCGTGTAGCGAATAAGCACAGATTGCAGATGCTGGATCATTTCAGTGAATGCATAAAACACACCAAGTCCGGTAGACAAGAGGCGATACAGATGAATGTATTCACGGCTGTGTTAAGCGGTTTAAAGGGACTCAACGAGGCGAAAATGGGCTTCGGGCAAGAAGACGTCAAGAAGTCCGCCACTAATCTTATCATCGTAAGCATTGTTGTTACAAGAATCGAATAAGAGTTTGTTTTATTATCCGTGCGAAATTATAATGAGAAATAACCTACGTTTCAGAGCACACTGGTCAGCGGCAATCCTATTCTGCGATGGGCAGCGGGCGAAGCGGTCGGCAGAATGGCTCAAGTGATCTCCGATCCCAAGTTCACCGCGGAATTGGCGCAGACCAGTTTCGATCGTCTGAAATCGGCTCGCGACGTCGTCAGCAGAACCGGCCACTCGCTGGCGTTGGGCTGCCTTCATAAGTACGTCGGCGGAATGGGCTCGAGTCAACATCTTAACACCAGCGTCAGCATCTTACTTGCGCTCGCGCAGGATAATTCGTCTCCTGTAGTACAAGTAAGACATTATTGCGCTGTGATGCTATTGTTTACATTTGACCTTGGGAAATATTAAAATAAATTTTCTTTTTCTCCAGGTTTGGGCACTGCATGCTCTGTCTCTGATAGCTGACTCCGGCGGACCAATGTTCAGAGGATACGTGGAACCTACGCTGTCCTTAGCGCTGACTCTCCTTCTCAATGTTCCTCACTCTTACATCGATGTGCACCAGTGCATCGGGAAAGTTTTATCGGCGCTTATCACGACGATAGGACCAGAATTGCAAGGTAAACGCACAACATAGTTAATTATGTGCAAAGTAATTACGAGACAGTTGCTTTTGACAAAGATGATATATTGAACAATCGATTTCAGGCAATACGTCGACGATTTGTATGGCGCGGTCGTCATTTTTGTGCGCGTGTGCCATTATGCAAGATCATCAGGATCCGCTCGTTCAAGCCGAGGCAACCGGCTGTCTTCAGCAGTTACATCTCTTCGCACCCAGACACGTCAATTTATCTTCTCTCGTTCCTACATTATGCGTAAGACTTTCTCGGCAAACTTTTCAAAAACTATAGTTTATCGTGAAATTTTTATTGTATGGTTTTTTTTCACTTTGCAGCGTACTTTGTCGAGCAATCACTTGCTTCTGCGTAAAGCTGCAATATCGTGCCTCCGGCAACTCGCTCAGCGCGAAGCGAAGGAGGTGTGCGAGCACGCGATGACGCTGGCGAATGAAAGCAGGGACACTAACGTGGTGGAGGGTCTCGTTATTACAGAGACCGGTCTTCCGGGCGTGCTGTTCAGTATGCTGGATACGGAAACCGATAGTAAACTAATCAAAGATATCCACGATACTTTGACGAGCATGCTTCAAATACTAGCGGACAACAATCTGTCGCAATGGTTGTCATTGTGTAAAGACGTCCTCACGATAGCTTCGGGTAAAACTTTTTCTCATACTATAAATTACTGTTGGAAAATTTGTCTGATAAAATGTTTTGTTATGCAGAATCGAGCACAATCGAGGAGGGCAACGCGGCAAATGTGGAGGACAGCGCCGCCGATAATGAATCGGCGGACGCCGAAGGGGATGACGATCAGGCTGAGTTCCATGCCGACGAATCCACGAAGCAGCGGCCGTCCGTCACACCGCGATGGCCGACCAGAGTCTTCGCGGCGCAGTGCGTCAGGCGCATCGTCGCGGCCTGCGTAAATAATAAGCAGGCGCATTTTGATCTCGCCTTGGCCAAGGAGATGCAGCTGTCGAAGGGGAAAGGTGCGACTGACGCTGCTCCAGCATTGCTGCTTCTTTTAACTAGCAATAAACTTTTTGACTTTTAATATTTATTTTTATCGGATTTTTTTTAAGGAGATTTTCTGGTGCTGCATCTGTCGGACTTGGTGCGCATGGCGTTTATGGCTGCGACGAGCGATTGCGATCCATTGCGGCTCGAGGGTCTCAAAACTTTGCAAGAGATCATCGACAAATTCGCCAAAGTTCCCGAACCAGAGTTTCCCGGGCATCTGTTGCTTGAGCAGTTCCAGGCACAAGTGAGTTAATTTAATTCACTGAACGTTTTCTAAGGCCAGCGTTTAATGTTAATTACATTAAATATGAATATTTAAAGGTTGGAGCTGCTCTAAGACCGGCATTCTCCGCGGAAACACCGTCGCACGTCACAGCCGCGGCTTGCGAGGCTTGCAGCGCGTGGATCGGCAGCGGCGTCGCTAGGGACCTCAACGATCTACGAAGGGTGCATCAGCTGCTCGTGTCGTCTCTAGAGAAATTGAGGGAAGGTAATACTCGGCCACAGCTCTACAACGAGAGCTTGTCGACGCTGGAGAGATTGGCGATCCTAAAAGCGTGGGCAGAGGTATATTATCGCGCATTTAATATGTGCAATAAAAATGTAATATTTGAGAAAGTCACAAGAAAGAGGAGATTAAGTTTGATTTTATCTTGTTAACAGGTGTACGTAGTCGCAATGATAAGAGATGGATCCGCACTGAACAGCAAAGACACGGCTAATCGAAATGTGAATCAAGCCGACGAGGCTAATGAGGAGGATTTTGGGGAGTTTGAGTTTCAAAGCGAAAGTTTGCTGAGTCTCGTCCAGCCGGAGCTTTTGAGTCTGAGTCAACATTGGCTGTCTGCGTTGAGAGACCACGCGTTGCTTTCTTTGCCGCCAGGTAATTGAAGAAATATAATGAAATGTGATAGCGCAAAAAGAATTAATAAACAACTGTGTGTCAAAATTAATATTCTAAGAAATAATGAATAAAATTTTCACTTCAACAACATGTGTGCCATATTGCACATCGCAAATTAAGAAATTTATAGTGAATATATGTCGAAATAAATTGTTACGCAAGACTTTAATATTTGTTATAGCTTTTTGTTATGTATTGTATTTTTTTTTGCATTAATGAAAACTACGTTCTCGTGGGATTTTCGCAGAATTCTCCAGCCAGCTGCCGCACGACGGCGGTGCGTTTTACACGACAGACACCATGGAATCCGCGCGTCCTCACTACGTAGAATCGTGGGCGCCGATTCTCCACGCCGCGACTCTCTGGCTCAACGCGCGGGGATTTGAAATTGGAGACAGTAGCCAGGAGAGAGCGGCGGCGAATGCTACAAACAACAACAATCACAGCAACAACAACAACAACAATGATGAAGCCGCAACTTCTACCACCAACACGAACATCGAACGTTTCCATTTGTTGTTCGGTGAATATGCAATATGTAGAAATTGTTATTATACAATTATGATTTGAAGAAATACTTACAGTAATTATTATTTGCAGGTATATGCATGGAAGCTTTGTGCAGTCCTCGCTCTTCCGAATCGCCGCAGAATATAGAGACGTGTTTAAATGCTTTGTACACGCTACTCGATTCAACATGGGCGCGCAAAGTCTTCATCGCGGATCGTTCCTTGCCCATCGAGTTGTGCAATGTTCTGCATAGGTACGTATTTATGAGCGAGAATCTACAATCTATTTTTTGATTGTGTAATATTAATATCGAATATGTGCTTGTCTTTTAAAGATTGCTTTTAACGCGGGAGAGTTACGTCATTCAGATGATAGCGATGGAGGTGCTGAAGCAAGTGATGAAAGCAGCGCAAGAAGATCTTGTTGCGAGGAAAAAATTGAAGCTCAAAGGTGCGCGAACTTAAAAATTATTTCTTCGACGTATTCGCACATAAACATAAATGCAATGTATTTTTTTAATAATAGATGACGCATCGGCACACCAAGAGAGCAACGAAACGTCGGAGCTGGATCTGCTAGGCGAAGGAGAGGAAAGCGGCGAGCTCACGCCGGGCAAATCGTTAGTATTCGCTATCCTAGAAGTATGCTTGTGTCTTCTGGTGCGGCAGATACCGGCGTTGAATCCGAATCCCGGCAGTGCGACTGCCATTTTATCGCAGAAGGGATACGTACCGTCTGAGGAAAGCGGCAAGCTGATCGCGCTGTCTCTTAATATAATGGAATCTCTTCCCACTTTGTGCTCTCCGCAAGGTACTGTCAAAGTTATTAAGCATAGTTTAACTTAAAGCTTAGCATGAATTGAAATTTGTTAATCGTTAAAGTTAATTGGCGATTTAATTTATCTTGTCTTCTTCGCTGCCTTCTAAAGGCGCGGTAGCGATTCTCCCGACGTTGCTGTATCTAGCAACGGGCGTGATACGGGAAACCGCGGTGCGTGCGGACAACGATACCAAACCGAGTTCGGAGGCGCCGGTCCATGCCGCGTTGCACTGCGTCAAGAGTCTTACGAATATCAAGTACGCTCGAGATCATAGGAGTCGCGAGCAATGGACAGGATTACTGCGCAGCGCACTTGCCAAAATCATCGATCTGGCCAAAACAGGTACGTCGGTTTTATTTTTTATCAGTGAATATATAAGCGTCTTTTGTCTACAACTTTTTATTCATAAAATATCAGAAATCAGAATGAAATATTCTTGTTTCTTATTTTAGCAAAAGTTTTAAAATGTGTATATATAGTTAAAGCTTAGTATATACATTATTTATTTTATTTACTTTGCAGGAAATGATGAAACCAAGATGGATGAAGTAGCTATGATGCTGGGTATCGCGGTATTCGTGCTTCACGCATCGCCCGAAGTAGTGAGCGCTCCGAATCTTCAATTCCCGTGCATTAATCACTTCCGACATGCGTTCCAGTCTGAAAACCTGACGGTGAGTGAATGACGGACGAATGGAGCGTTATTCATGATTGCTAATTTCGAAGCTAATTGAAATAATTTTGCATCAGGTGAGGCTGAAATGCGTGCAAACGTTAAAAACGATATTTTTGCATCCGGAGCGCAACATAAGTACTCCGTACATTCACGCGCTCGCGCCACGACTGGTGGAATACCTGTACAGCGACAGCAGCAAGCAGGTGACAAGCGACATGGAACTAACCTTCACATTAGAATGCATCAGCACGGTGGAAGCTCTCATAGGACTCGCCGATCTTCCTAACCGTAAGTTAACGCTGTAGAATTCACGAGAAACATTCGGTACAGAATTACGTCTCAACAATTAACCGATGAAATGGAAAATATTAATGCAAAATGTGTTACACGCTATTCAGGAGATCTGTTGCAAGGTGTGTGGGAAGTAGAGATCTTCATAATATAATCTTTTAATGTTTTAATCAATATTGTTTCATTATCGATCATTTATTATACACATTGCGAGTAAATTTATCACAATATTATCTCACATCGGAATTATTAGGTATCCAAATGCTGACTTTGCTCGTGCCGATCTTGATCAACTACTTGCTGGAGGAAGACGAGCTTCAGCGCGCTACTAAATATCAAGCGAACCTGCATCAACAGAGTTTTCAATGGCTCAACAAAATCGGGCCGAAATATCCGCAGGTACGATATTTTCGAGAATACATTTCCAAGTCCTGAACGGTATATAATAATTATTATGCTTAGGAATTCAAGACGCTGATGTCACAAACGGCCGAGCTGAAAACCAAATTGGAGAACGCCGTGAGATCCAGTCATCAGCAGGCGCAGCGACATACTCGATCGGATTCTGTAAAACCGCAGATCAAGATATCTGCGCCGTCAATCAAATTGAAGACCGACTTCTCCAATTTCAACTAAGAGAGATGGTGCATCGTGGAAGAGAGAGGATCGAATCGCGTAACGTAACTAACGGTATTAGCGATGCTGTCATAATAGAACATGATTGCGTTAACGTGACTCGGCTCATCCACTAATTATCGATCAGGTAAGTCGAATTAATCGCTATTTATTACGTGTTAGCATCGTGATAATTATATAGTGATATTTCGCTGTTAGAGATTCTTATCCGACTGTACTTAGAGATTAAAGATTAGTGACATTAAACGGCAACTGCACACTCACGTTTGACGCAAATTTTTTCGAACGACTACTTGCTTGAATGCTGTGCTGCTGGAGAACATGCAAATGCTCAATGAAATTCAGAATACAAATAGCGTGTCGCGCATAGCAATATATTTGCGTCAATGTATCTGAGTGTGCAAACGTCGCTTTGAAGCGAATTTAAAGAGTAGTTAAGAAAGTAACACGAGTGGAGAGAAATAAAGTTGACGTCGGACGATCGATTAACTGCTGTCGTAAAAATATATTTGCATTATATACATTCTCTTCACCCCCATTTAACTTGTTCGTTGCTATAAATACAATAACGTTCCTAATTTTCCAATCATGTTTTCCAGAGTGCAAGAGAATGACTTTATATTAGACTCAAATTGTATATATATATATGTAGAATTTAGTGTACAACATAGAAATTATTAATTTATTTCATAATATAAACAAACAGGTGTTAATATTCTCGTCGCCGATGGATTAAGAATTCTATTCCATGACAGATATGGCGTTAAAAGTTTTGAACGACTGCAAACACCAGTATGCACAAAATAAGTTATTGATAATATAATAATATAGATATTTCTCTGTGTGCCCACTCGAAAATCTTATTAATCCGCGAGCCAAAAGCTTCCTTTCGAAACAATTCTTAACGCAATCGACTGTATTAGAATTATTTATTAACAAATTATATGAATAGTCACGCGAGTTTTCTTAGGAAGATACACTCTGCCATATAAAACGGATGAGAACACGACCAGTATAAAGTAGAGACAGATTCGAGAACACATTTAATGTTCTTCTAACAAGAAGACTGATAATCCGTTGTTTTTATTTTGCAATTTTATATAATATACACACGGACAGCATGTGTTTGTTTTACACATGTAGAACTGATAACAGAATTAGCGATTTTATTGAACGAATGTCTGATCTGACATATCGAACTCTACCGAGCTATTTGGTAATATATCAGATATTTTGCAAAAACAATTTTTTTTTTCACAGACTGCGATAAGATGTGTGAAAAGCGCCTTTGGTAAATCGATACCGCATGCTGGGCATTACAGCAAAACGGTGGATTAATAATCCCGCAAATTTGTAGAAACAATTTTTCCGTACTTGATTTGTCAAGCGAGTAGATTGCGGCCCGATTTGTGAGCGAAGAGAAGTAAGAGTGAACTGTGTGAAATGTACACACGACTGGAGGGATATCTTGCTTCGACATTGGTATTTGTGACATCGCCTTAGAATCAATATATAAGTAAATGTAGTTACAAAAGTGTAGACTCGCGATGTTGCAGCATAAATGTTAATCTACACCTTTCTATGCGGATCAATTGTCATTTCGTCGTTTGCATAATCGTGCGACAGCATTCTCGCAGAAGAATAGAAGGATCGAAAAGGAATTGACAGGGAATTTATTCTGCAGAATTATCCTGAAGACTTCCTTCGTCCTATCTATTTTTCGTCGGGATTGGATTTGGGTTTGCAAAACTAATTGTCTCTCCATTTAAGGTTTGGCAAATCTCGCAGCGTATGTATAGAATTAAGTTTGAATTGCATAGTAGACCTGATGTAGCGCGTATCACCGATAAATTTAATAAGAAAACCGTGACGAATTATTGGAAATGTGGAAAGAGGATTATGTGCTCGATAGATGTTCTACTATTTTTATATGGTTATTTTAGGAAACACGTTGATTGTTTGTAACTTTTAATTGCGCGCCCGCGAGAGTACGGTCGTCTAAATCACTGAACATTATAACATACTGGGACGAGCCTTTCCTATACTAGCCTATGAAGAGCTATGGCCTCGAATTCGAAAGATTTATAGCAGTGGATGGATTTCTGTCTTTTTTTATATCGAATAAAAAAATATCTGATAAAAAGAAACTGAGAAATTAGCCATCATCTATTTATTTTTTGTAATTGGAGACATTATTGAAGGCCAGCATACAAGCCAGTTGCAAAGTTCAGTGGTTTAAATAGTATACCTGATCCATCGAACTTCCATGTACAATGAACGTTTCAGTCGCGTTTTATCGGACCGGCGGGAATCTTCTCTGACGAATGGTACAATTATACCTAGTGTTGTATAACTGCAGTCGGCGAAAATAAAGGTAACTGATTAAACTATCTTAGGGCCTTATTATATACAATCTTACATATTATTACATTATAGATCCATGAGTCACGTTTTATTCCATTAATATAGGAAAGTCACCATATGTTGCCTGTTACATTCTGATATCTTTTAATAATTCATACATATGGATTGAGGTTTTTAACTTACAAATATTTTTTTGTTTAGTTTCAAAAAGAAAAAACTATTTTAACATTTCAAAAATGGTTTAAATTCTGTTATCTTAAGTTTGAAAACATGAAATGTATAAGAGACATATATGCAGCAGTTTGCTGCAGTATTTATCAACAGAAATAGTTCTCGTAGATTTAAAGTGTTTTTAATTTACAGTTTTTTTCTAAAGTTAAATTTTATTGAATTCTTACGTTCGTGAAAGATCAAAGACCAAAGAGAACGGAAGAGGTTTTTTTTAATAAATTTCAATAAATCCATACAATTACTTAATGCAAATAGAAATTGATATCAATAACTTATATCAATAAACTTGTATCAGTATAAACTTGATAAGATAAAAGTTTAACTAATGTTCAGTTGGTTAATTATCGATGAAACAAACAGAAGCAACCAGCGTAACGTAACCATCATTGCACTATTTTTTGTATCAAAGTATAAAATTTGCTTTATATTTAGATAACTCTTGAGCATGTATGCCAGTATAAAGATGATCGCGAAGGATATGACCAAAGCAGTTCAGCGCGAGCTGTGGTCGCATAATCAACGCAGCTTTATCCTATCAGTCTTGCCTCATCGTAATTTAGCATCTGGCTCTGGCAAAATTACGACGAAGAGTTCGAACTTGAAACATTCCTTGACACGTAAGTTTTCGGTGCAATCTTGCGAGATGGTAAAAGCAAGGAAATACGTGCTGATGAAGCATTTCACGGACAAGCCGAAACGGACGGACTTAAAATTGGTAGAGGAAGAATTGCCTGCTTTGAAGAATGGAGGTAGGGAGAATTAAGTAGCCATCATCATGTGTGCGTGTGTATGTGTATATGTGTATCATCATTTATGAATACGAATGAATATGAATTGTTTGCGACTTGCTAACATGATTATACACTTTGCCTTTTTCCAATATCATTAAGAACATTACCCTGTAAAATATAAATGATTTAGATAGAATTTATAGGAATTTATCTGTGATGAGTTATGAACTTGTTATATTGATATATCATACTCTCTAAGCAAGCAATTCTCTAAGCAAAGTGTTAGCAGCTTGACAGCAAATTTGATCAAACATTTAATTAAATTATTAATAATTTATTTGTTTTTTGAACAGCTCTGCATACTTATATGTTATATTTTATGAATTTATTAATTCACTCGATATGCGTTAATATAAATTCTTAACATATCTGAAAAGATTGGCAAGCCAGAACCAAAATTTAAATGCCAAACAATAACAAACATGTATTAAATGAAATATAAACGAACGTTTTGATCCGTTTATAATTCAATGTTTACCGTTAGTTATTGTAAAATTTAGCATTAACTATTAATTCAATATCAGTGTTATCGTATTATTTTTCTTAATATTATTGATATCATTTCAAATAATATTTTATTAATGTAATCGGCGAGAATGTATTATTAATTTGTCGTATATTTTTAGAATATCTCGCGGAAGCTGAGTACCTTTCCGTGGACCCGTATATGAGAGTATACACGCAAAGGTATCCAGTAGGAACGACGATGATCGGTGCTCAGGTCGCTAAGATCATCGAATCCAAGCATCCAGACTACCCAGTTGGCAAGAGAATTGTTGGATATTTGGGCTGGAGAACTCACACGATTGTCAATCCCAAGATCGACGAAAGCGACAAAGTGATGGTGCAATCACCGTATATTTTGCCGGACATAGGCGATCTACCGTCGTCTCTCGGCTTAGGCGTCTTAGGAATGCCAGGGTAAAATGGAAAATCTTGAAATGCATTTACATAATTGCCTGTAACGTTAAACGCTAGCTTATCGTTCCGCAACATAAATAAACATAAAAGAGGCAACTGTTTTTTTTTTAATTTGTTACTTATATGTAAACTTTTATATCGTTATGGTGCGATTAAGGTTCAAAGTTTAAATTTTATTATTTATCTATTTATAAAACAGTTACATAAATACTCGTGTTTACAGCAATGCTGCCTACTTTGGTTTGATAGAGATATGCCAGCCAAAGTCCGGCGAAACGATTGTTATCAGCGGTGCAGCCGGCGCGGTCGGTTCTCACGTAGGACAAATTGCTAAGAATCTGGGTCTGACTGTCATCGGCTTATGCGGTTCCGATGATAAATCCAAATGGCTTACCGAGGAATTGGGTTTCGACGCCGTTATCAATTATAAAACCACGTCAGTCGCGGCTAGTCTACGCAAAGTCGCTCCGCAGGGCGTCGATTGCTATTTCGACAATGTACGTTGATAAAATATCGATAGTAATTGCATGATTTGTTTCCACTTGTTAAATATATAGTAGATAGATTATTATTGTTAAATGTCTTCTTTCTATAAGTAACTTTTTATAATTTTTAATATATTTAATAGTTATACTTATTAATATACCTATAGTTTTAACTTATGTATTTTATACTATGTACTTTAAATTAATTGAAGATTATGATTTTTTTTTCTGTAGTTAATATATAATAAAACTAAACTCATAATTTTACTTACAGGTCGGTGGAGATATTTCGAGCACGGTTATTTACCAGATGAAGCCATTCGGCCGGATATCCGCGTGTGGCAGCATCTCCTCGTACGAATCTAATGCTTCGTCCTTGCCAAAGTGCACGCTTCTGCAACCTGCGATAGTGTTTAATCAATTAAAAATGGAAGGTTTCATCGTTACACGCTGGCATAATCGTTGGTTCGAAGGAATTCAACAGAACTTACAGTGGATCCGCGAAGGTAAGCTCTGTTATCACGAGACTGTAACCAAGGGCTTCGATAACATGTTCGATGCGTTCGTCGGCATGCTGCAAGGTCAGAACGTCGGCAAGGCAATCGTCAAGGTGTAAAATCATGGTTGTACATGTAGCTAGACTTGCTACGAATACTTGCACCTTTGTAATTACATGATAAGATTTCTGTATTTTTGATATAAAAATTTATCATCTTTACATTTTATTTTCTACGATATTTTAAAAATATTTTTGATACGTTATATACTCTAATCTTATTATAAGCATTTAAATGACATTTAAAAGTAAATAATGTATTAGAATTTGTGAAATATATGCATTATGCTCGGCATAAAACTTTAAATAGAGAGGAAGTTAAAACATTGAATGAAAGATATCCAATATTGAGTTACGTAATGAATTTTGTAAAATCATGTTTTCTATAGTTTTTTTATTACACATTAGAAGTTTGAGCAAGTTACTATAAAACACTTTATGAAGTCATTAAAGTGTATATATTGCAAAATAAAAGAGAAGAGTCTTTTCTGCAATTGACACAGGTCATAAAAGATCTTTATTGTAAATCTTCTACTAAAAAGAGAGTTTAAGTTTCAAGCTCATCTTTTTTACTTAATACATGGAGAATTTCCCAAAGAGATTTTTGGGGAAGATTATACGCACCCATTCAAAAATTCAGAGCTGATATTGTAAGCTGATATCGTGTGTAAAAAAAAAAGACCAGAATAATTTTTGAGTTAAAACTGCATACTTACTAATGAAGGTTCAGCATCTGCTTTCAGTCAAATATTAGAAAGGAAATATTATATTGTATTTGAAAAGGAAAATTTAGTTAAGATAGTTTTAATTAGAGTACATATGGATGAACATAAAATTACCATTTCATATTTAATTAATAATTTTGATAAAGAAATCATAAAAACTGTATCTGTTATCTGTATCATGTAGTATCTTTTGTGTTGTAATAACCATGAATGAATAAATTAAAGTTAAAAATAGATTAAGATATAACTTGTTCTTTTTGCACACTTAGAGTATTAGTACTAATTAGTTGGTTTATCAGTTATATATTTAGTACAACCTATATGTATTAGTTATATATTAGTTATATATTAGTACAACGTATTTTATAGCGACAAAATTATTGAATTATTTTTGAAAAAAACATTTTGAAAAATAATTTTTTGAGGAACAATTTTTGTTGAATATTTTTTAAGTAAAGAATACGTTTTGTAATTTTTTAAGGAAAAAGTATTTTTTGAATGGTCTACTTTTTTCGCGATGTGGGTATAATAACCCAAAGTAAAAGAGGAAGCACTTAAGTGCTTTTTGTGATAGTGTGGAGTCAAACGACCCAAAACAAAGGAACTTTTTAAAGAAAGTTCTTAATGAAAAGTGAAAATTTATTGAAAAAGTACTTGCTTAGTGCTTTTCTAGAGTATGAGGTCAACGGCAGCAGTACACTAATTACGTTAATAAAGTGTTAATACGCGGAATAGAATATGTAGAAACACCATACTCTACTTTATATGTTCCTCTAAGAGAGAGCCTGACAAAAATATCAAATATAAAATTAACATTACACGATAGAAATAATGACTTAATCGAAGATATTAAACAAATTGTAGTATATTCGCATTTGTTAGAGGAATAAAGAAATTTTCTTCTAATAAATAATAACTAAATAATAATAATAATCAAAAATATCAATATAGCTACAGTGCAAACTGCTAATGGATATTATAGAGACTTGCAGCACAATATAAAGTTTGTAAAATCATTGGTGATTTTATAAACTCACCTTTGTTAGTTTATAAAATCACCAATGATGCTAAAATATTAGAAGAAGCTAAAAAGAATTATACAACAGAGTTCGAAACAAATTTCTCACTCGAAGATTTATAACATTGGGAATTGATGACGTATGGGCATCTGATTTAATAATACTGACTAATCATGTGTTCCATTTTTTCCATGAGTCATGTTTTATTTCGTTACTATAATTGTTATCTTATCTGTTGCAGTGTCATAGCTGCACTTCACATGTTGCTCGTCATATTCTGATATAATGTTAACAATTCATTTTATACATATAAATTGAGGTTTGTAGCTTACAAATATTTTTTGTTTAGTTCTAAAAAACTTTTAACATTTCAAAAAACATTTAAATCCTGTCAAGTCTTATCAAGTTTGAAACGTGAGATGTATGAGAGAAGTATATGCAGTTTATTCAATAAATAAACTTTATTGCAATGTTGATCTATAAATAGTTCTCGTCTTGAAATATTTTTAATTTAGTTTTTTGAATTTTTTTCTAAAGTTAAATTTTACTGAATTCTTAAGTTCGTGAAAGATCAAAGATCAAAGAAAAATAGAGAGAATCTTTTTATTAAATTACAATAAATTTATACAAAATTTTTTTTATTGCGAATAGAATTAAACTTGCATCAGTATAAACTTGATAAGATAAAAGTTCAGTTATTGTTTGATTGTCCAATTATCAATTTTCTTTTATCAAGCTCTTGAGCATGCTTGAGAGTATAAAGATGATCATGAAGAATGCGACTAAAGCAGTAGAGCGCGAACTATGATCGTGTACTTATCTTTATCATTGCCATCTAACCTCATCGTGATTTAGCATCTGGCTGTGGCAAAATTACGACGAAGAATTTGAACTTGACATATTCCTTAAGTTTTCAACGTAATTACGCGAGATGGTGAAAGCAAGGAAATACGTGCTGGTGAAGCATTTCACGGACAAGCCGAAGCCGACGGACTTAAAGTTGGTAGAGGAAGAGTTGCCTGCTTTGAAGAATGGAGGTAGGAAAAATTAAGTAGTCATCATTATATGTGCGTGTGTATGTATCTATATATACATCATCGATGAATATAAATATTCTGCAACTGCTTGTGAACGGTAAATGAAGAACATTACTCTGCAAAAAATATGTGATTTAGAAAGAATTTATAGGTATTTATCTATGATGAGTCGTGATCTTCTTAGAATGACTATCATATTACTCTGTAAACAAAGTATTAGCAGCTTGTCAGCAAATTTGATCAAACATTTAATTAAATTGTTAATAATTTATTTCTTTTGTTAACAGCTCTGCATACTTATATGTTATGCTTTATGAATTTATTATCTTACCAATTTATTAATTTACTCGATATGCATTAATATAAATTCTTAACGTATCTGAAAGGATTGGCAAGCCAGAAGCAAAATTTAAATGCCAAATGATAACAAACATATATTAAATGAAATATAAACAAACGTTTTGATTTGTTTAAAATTGTTTACCGTTAGTCATTGTAAAATTTATTATCATTAACTATGAATTCAATATTAGTGTTATTATTTTATCTTTCTTAATATTATTGATATTATTTCAAATTATATTTTATTAATGTAATCGGCGATAGTGAAGTATTAATTTGTTGTGTATTTTTAGAATATCTTGTGGAAGCTGAGTACCTTTCCGTGGACCCATATATGAGAGTATACACGCAAAGGTGTCCAGTAGGAATAACAATGATCGGTACTCAGGTTGCTAAAATCATCGAATCCAAGAATCCGGACTACCCAGTTGGCAAGAGAATTGTTGGATCTTTGGGCTGGAGAACTCATACAATTGTCAATCCTGAGGCCGGCGAAGTCGACAAGGGGACGCTTTCACCGTATATTTTGCCGGACATAGGCGATCTACCATCGTCTCTCGGCATAGGCATGTTGGGAATGCCAGGGTAAAATGGAAAATCTTGAAAATAATGCATTTGCATAATTGTCTATAACTATTTGCATTTGCATAATTTTTTGAAATTATCTTAAACACTTGCTTATCGTTCCGCAACGGAAATAAACATAAAAATAAGAGGCAACTGTGTTTTTTAAATTTGTTACTAACTTATATTTAAACTTTTATATGGTACGATTAAGGTTTAAAGTTGAAGTTTTATTATTTATCTGTTTATAAAGCAGTTACATAAATACTCGTGTTTACAGCAATACTGCCTACTTTGGTTTGATGGAGATATGTCAGCCAAAATCTGGCGAAACGATCGTTATCAGCGGTGCAGCCGGCGCAGTCGGTTCTCACGTAGGACAGATTGCTAAGAGTCTGGGTCTGACTGTCATCGGCATATGTGGTTCCGACGATAAATCCAAATGGCTCACCGAGGAGTTAGGTTTCGACGCCGTTATCAATTACAAAACTACGTCAGTCGCGACTAGTCTACGCAAAGCCGCTCCGCAAGGCGTCGATTGCTATTTCGACAATGTACGTCGATAAAATATCGTAATTTATTACAATTTGTTAAATATATGTAGATAGATTATTATTGTTGAATGTCTTTTTTTTATAACTTTTTCCAATTTTTAATATGCCTAACAATTTTTTAATTTATGTATTCTGCACAATGCACTTTAAATTGATTGAAGATCACGATTTTTTTCTTGCAATTAATAGATATTAAAACTAAACTCATAATAATTCTGCTTACAGGTTGGTGGAGATATTTCGAGCACAGTTCTTTATCAGATGAAGCCATTCGGTCGAATATCTGTGTGTGGCAGCATTTCGTCGTACGATTCTGATGCGTCGTCCTCTCCGAAGTGCACGCTTCTGCAACCTGCAATAATATTTAATCAATTAAAAATGGAAGGTTTCATCGTTCGGCGATGGCAGGATCGTTGGTTCGAAGGAATCCAACAAAATTTACAGTGGATCCGCGAGGGCAAGCTCCATTATCACGAGACTGTAACCAAGGGCTTCGATAACATGTTCGATGCGTTTGTCGGCATGCTGCAGGGTCAGAATGTTGGCAAGGCAATCGTCAAGGTGTAAAATCGAGGTCGTGCATGTAGCTAGACTTGCTATAAATATTTACACATTTGTGATAACATGATAAAGTTTCTATATTTTTGATGTAAAAATTTATCACCTTTACATTTTATTTTCTACGATATTTCAAAAGTATTTTTGATACATTATATAATCTAATCTTATTATAAGCATTTAAACGACATTTAAAAGTAAATAATGTATCAGAATTTATGGAATACGTGCACCATGCTCGATATAAAACTTTAAATAGGGAGGTTTTAATACATTGAATTAAAAATACCTAATATTGAGTTACTTAATGAATTTTGTAAAGTCATTTTCTATGGATGGGGATATAGCAGTACACTAATGACGCTAATAAAGTGCTAATACGCGGTATAGAATATATAGAAACACCATACTTTATATGTTTCTCCTTATGCTCCACTTTATATGTTCCTGTAACAATAAGAGAGAGCCTGACAAAAATATCAAATATAAAATGAACATTGTACTATAGAAATAATGACTTCATCGAAGATATTAAACAAATTGTAATATATTCGCATTTGTTAGAGCAATAAAGAAATTTTCTTTTAATAAATAATAACAGAGCAAGAACTTATATTTATTGTCATAAATGTAAAAAGAAAACCAAAAATATCAATACAGCTACAGTGCAAACTGTTAATGGATATTATGGAGACTTGCAGCACAATATAAAGTTTGTAAAACTAACAAAAGTGAGTTTATAAAATCACCAATGATGCTAAGATATTAGAAGAAGCTAAAAAGAATTATACAACAGAGTTCGAAACAAATTTCTCACTCGAAGATTTATAACATTGGGTCTTGATGACGTATGGGCATCTGATTTAATAATATTGACTAATCATATGTTCAATCTTATCCATGAGTCATGTTTTATTTCGTTACTATAATTGTTATCTTATCTGTTGCAGTGTCATAGTTGCACTTCACATGTTGCTCGTCATATTCTGATATAATTTTAACAATTTATTTTATACATATAGATTGAGGTTTGTAGCTTATAAATATTTTTTGTTTAGTTCTAAAAAACTTTTAACATTTCAAAAAACATTTAAATCCTGTCATGTCTTATCAAGTTCGAAACGTGAAATGTATGAGAGAAATATATACAGCAGTTTATTGCAATGTTCGTCTACATGGTAATTATTCAGAATCGCTACCTCACCTGTAATTTTGATAAATTTATGCTTATTCGACGCGTTTTTGCGTGAAACGTAAGAATCTGGCAGAAAAAAAGTGTCGCTCTGCCCCGCGAAGCGAGATATTAATTGTTAAAGTTGACTATTTTTCAGGTTACGAAACCTGTCATAATAAACCTGACAAAATATAGCGACATAGACATGCGTTGCGGTTACGCGCGCGTGCTGTGTTAATCCAAGGATAGGTTTGGTTAAGGCTTGATGGGCGGGGGGGGGGG